CATGAAGGTTACTGGTTTCGAATTTGGGTTTCAGGAGTTCGACAAACAATCGAGAGAAGAGTTATGATTTGGGTTTTGGGTTCAAAGCTTCAAACTCAGCGACGGGTTTGGGAAAGGAGTGCGAAGGGAGGGAGGCAGCTTAATTGAGGAGAGAAAGGAGTGTGAATTTACAATTTTATCCACGTTCTTAACGAAAATGTTAACAAAGGACCATTCGTAGAAATTAATCTTATAATTGGGGACTAAATTAGTAATATTTTATATGTAGCGACTAAATATGTAAAACGACCTATAACTGAGGACCTTTTATGGAATTTACTCTATTATATATCACATATGTTAATGCATAATGTCAAAAAGGGGTAAATGTCAAGTAACTCTACTATTTGCCATTAGTTTTGTTTAATGATTATTGGGAGTCCAGCCTTACAGTATGATATATTACATTTTTTGAAGTTCTAAAAAAATTACCTTTTTCGAAAAAAACAAAAATTGTTAATTTGAGACGTGTCGATGCATTATATGTTAATTTTTTCAAACAAAGATAACTTTAAATTTTAAGAAAATTATAAAAGTAATTGTAAAATAACCTTTATTAATAAATGAAACAAATAAAGGAAAAAAATGGGAAAAAAGAGAGAAATAAAAAATCAGTACTGTTCCCCCAATGGTTTAGAAAATATGCACGAATGCCTCCCTTTTTCACCGGAAAAATGACCGGAAAATGATCAGAGGGGCACGTGTGCAGCGTTTTGAAACCACAAGGACTTTAGAAATAAGTTTTGAAAACAGGGGGGGTATTGCTGCCTATTTTACAAACCACGAGGGGTACTGACGCTATTTGACCTAATGATTATTGGGAGTCCAACCTTACAGTATGATATATTAAATTTTTTGACACAAACTGTCGCCCATTGACATTGTTTAATGTATAATGTTTTTTTGACCTTTTGCACGATGCCGATAGATGGAGCTACCCATCACCACCGGAGGATTTTTGTATTTTATTTGTGTGCCATTTTCCTCCGAATTTATGGTAGCTAAATTGTGTCTAATTATTGCTATAATGTTTTTTGACACATATGTCAAGGAAAATTTTTTGTTATTGTTATTATTTTCTACAGGTTGACGGTGATACATCAATCTCCGAATCCCCTTTCTCTGTTGCTCTCGATGTTCTTCAAGATCAATTGAAGTATGGTTTCGTCCTAACTTGGTTTGTGCGGCCAGCAGGATTAATCAGAACACATATTTAATTAATCACTCCTATTTATGAGAGTTTAAGTTTGAGCTCCTATTTTGAGGATATGATCCATGTTTTACTCCTATTTATGGGGTTTTCTTTTTTAAAAATTTGAATTAAATAAAAAATTGTCGTATACACTTTCAATTCTTAAAATATTACTTATTCTACTTTAGGACTTTTGTTTATAGTATTAAAAATCATGTGAGAAAATATATTTTCTTCATTTCGTGAAAATTATTATACTGAATATAAATTCATAATCGACAAAAAATTCATTCAACCCCGTGCTACGCACGGGGTTAACACTAGTTTCTTAAAAAAACTACTCGTATTCTCCTAGTCTCTTGTGGCCATACGCTTGTTGCTGCCTTTAATACCACTACCACCGCCGATACCTCACAATTTGCCAAAAATGTTACTGTCGTCGTTCGAGCCTTTCACCATCGCGTGTTACACAAACTCTAAAAAAATAAAATAAAAAATAAAAAAATTATTAATACTGATGGGCCGATATCCAGAGGACGGCCCAAATGAACCATTTAAACAGCTTCGGGTCAAGCACCTGTGAAATACTCAAGCTGGGCCGGCCCAAGGAGCTGGGCCTAGTTAACCTGAGGCCAAGCGCAGCTGGCAGAGTCAGTCCGGAGAAGGAGACGGAGCTGATTGGCCGTTACGGAGCCAGGAAAAGGGGATCGCGCCCTTGGCGGGCTAGACTCCATCGGTTATGCTTCACCTTAATTGTTGAGAGCTCGTGTATAAATAGAAGGGACCCGAAAGGGGAGAACTAAAGCTAAATCAAGCTAGTAATACACATCCAATTCTGGAATTCTTGTTCTTAATTTTGTTCTTGCGATCCGCTCTGTAAATCGGATCATTTGGTGGATTTATTGTCCATCAAATTGGTGCTTTCATTGAGAGTTCGAGAATCATACTCGGAAGAAATCCTCCACAACGACGATGGTGCAAACACGTAGCAACGCCAACGTAGGTACCGGAGTTCCCCAACAGGGGGAGAACAGCGCCACCGGAGGTCGGCACCCCCCATCACCACCGGGGAGGCTGAGGCCCTCATTCAGAGGGTTGGGATCACGACCGAACAATTCAAGGAGGTGCTGGCCGCACTTGCGCCCAACCGCGAGGTAGTGGTGGGAGATGTGGCTGGGGGACCCACAGGCGAGAAGGCTGGACCTGCGGGCTCCCAAGGAAAAAAGAAAAAA